ATAATGTCCATGCACCTACAGGGAAGCCCAGTTAATACCACTATTATTCAAATTTATGCACAAACCACTAAAGCCAGTGAGGATAAAATAGAAGAATTCTACCAACTTCTTCAATCTGAAATCGATCAAACATGCAATCAAGATGTATTGATGATTAGTGGTGATTGGAATGCAAAGGCTGGGAGCAAAGAGGAAGGACCAGTAGTTGGAAAATATGGCCTTGGTGATAGAAATGATGCTGGAGAACGCATGATAGAATTCTGCAAAACAAATGATTTGTTCATTTCAGATACCTTCTTTAGACAGACTAACAGACGACTATATACATGGACCTCGCCAGATGGAATACATAGAAATCAAATTGACTACATCTGCGGAAAGAAACAATGGAAAAGCTCCATATCATCAGTGAAAACAAGGCCAGGGACAGACTGTGGAACAGACCATCAATTACTCATATGCAAATTCAAACTGAAGCTGAAGAAAATGCAAACAAGTCCATGAAAGCCAAAATATGACCTTGAATATATCCCACCTGAATTTAGAGATCATCTGAAGAACAGGTTTGATACACTAAACACTAAAGACTGAAGACCAGAAGAGTTGTGGGATGACATCAAGAACATCATACATGAAGAGAGCAAAAAGTCATTAAGAAGACAAGAAAGAAGGAAAAGATCAAGATGGGTGTCAGGAGAGACTCTGAAACTTGCTCTCCAGAGTAGAGATGCTAAAGCAAATTAAGGAATGAGGAGGTCCAAGAGCTGAACAGAAAATTTCAAAGATCAGCTCGAGAAGATAAAGCCAAATACTATAATAAAATGTGCAAAGATCTGGAATCAGAAAACCAGAAAGGAAGAACATGCTCAGTATTTCTCAAGCTGGGGGAACTGAAGAAAAAATCCAAGCCTCGACTTTAATTACTGAAGGATTCTCTGGGCATATTATTGAATGATGCAGAAAGCATCAAGAGAAGATGGAAGGAATACGCAGAGTCACTGTACCAAAAGGAATGGTTCATGTTCAACCATTTCAAGATGTAGCATATGATCAAGAGCCAATGATACTTAGGGAGGAAGCCCAAGGTTCATTGAAGGAATTGGCAAAGAACAAGGCACCAGGAATTGATGGAATAAAAATTGAAATCTTTCAAGAAAGTGAGGCGGCACAGAAGGCACTCACTCATCAATGCCAAGAAATTTGGAAGACAACTATCTGGCCATCTGATTGGAAGAGATCCATATTTGTGCCCATTCCGAAGAGAGGTGACCCAACGAAATGCAGAAATCATCCGACAATCTCTTTGCTATCCCATGCGAGTAAAGTGTTACTAAAGTTAATACAGAAACGGCTACAATCATACGTTGACAGAGAACTTCCAGCAGTTCAAGCTGGATTCAGAAGAGGCTGTGGAATGAGAAATACCAGTGCTGATGTCCGATGGATTGTAGCTGAAAGCAGAGAATATCAGAAAGATGTTTACCTGTGCTTTACTGACTATGCAAAGGTTTTCAATTGTGTGGACCATGACAAGCTATGGACAACATTGTGAAGTATGAGTATTCCAGAACACTTAATTGTACTCATGAGGAATCTGTACCTGGACCAAGAGGCAGTCGTTCGAACAGAACATGGGAACACTGAATGGTTTAAAACTAAGAATGGTGTACGACAACGTTGTATTCTTTCACCATACTTATTCAACTATATGCTGAGCACATAATCTGAAAAACTGGGTTCTATGAAGAAAAACATGGCATCAGGATTGAAGGAAGACTCATTAACAACCTGCGATATGCGGATGATACAACCTAGCTTGCTGAAAGTGAAGAGGACTTAAAATATTTACTGATGATGATCAAAGAGCACAGCCTTTGGTTTGGATTACATCTCAATGTCAAGAAAACAAAAATCCTCACCACTGGACCAATAAGCAACATTCTTATCAATGGAAAAAAAGAATGAATTTGTCAAGGACTTCATTCTTCTTAGATCAACTATCACACTCATGGAAGCAGCAGTCAAGAAATCAAATGACGTATTGCATTAGGCAAATCTGCTGCACAAGACCTTTTTAAAGTGTTGAAGAGCAAAGATGTCAGCTTGAGGACTAAGATGTACCTGACCCAAGCCATAGTATTTTCAACAACCTCATATGGATGCAAAAGCTGGACAGTGAATAAGGAAGATCGTAGAAGAATTGATGCTTTTAAGTTATGATGTTGGAGGAGAATACTGAAAGTGCCATGGGCTGCCAATAGAACCAACAGATTCGTTTTGGAAGAAGTGCATCCACAGTGCTCCTTGGAGGCCAAGATGGTCAAACTACGTCTCTTATACTTCGGACATATTGTCAGGAGGGACCAGTCACTGGAGAAGGATATCATGTTTGATAAGGTGGAGGGTCAGAGAAAGAGAGTAAGACCCCAAACAAGATGGATTGACCAAGTGTCAGCATTGATGGACTCAAGCGTGGTAACAATAGTAAGGTTGGCCCAGGATCGGGCAGTGTTTCGTTCTGCTGTGCATAAGGTCGCGATGGGTTGGTGCCCACTCGATGGCACCTAACAACAACAACAATGGGAATCAGGCTCACCATAGTGGGATTTAGCAAGAAAAAGAGGCGCAGAAATTCTGGAGACTGAAATGCACCAAGTGTCTTGGTTTCAAGGAGCTCTGGTAGTGCAGTGGTTATGAGTCGGCTGCTAACCTCATGGTCAGAAGTTCAAAACTACCAGCTATTCCTGTGGAAGGAAGATGAGGCTTTCTGTTCCCGTAAAGATTTACAGCCTTGGAAACCTTATATAGGGTCGCTATGAGGTGGAACTGACTCCACGGCACATAACCAACCAAGCGTCTTAATTTAGGAGCCTTAGTGGAACAGTGGGTTAAGTGAAAGGCTGCTAACCAAAAGGTCAGCGGTTCAAATCCACCAGATGTTCCTTAGCGGCCAGCTTCCGTTGAGTTGACAGCCTTGGATTTGCAGAAAGCTGTAGAGTTTCTGTGAGTTGAGGACAGTGGAGATGTGTACCGCTGTTTACGGAGTCCCAGGGCGGCACAGATGGAGAAGTGTTTGGCTGCTAACCAGAAGGCTGGAGGTTTGACTCTGCCCAGGGGTGTCTCAGAAGAAAGGCATGATGATCCATCTCCAAAACATTAGCCACTAAGAGTCCTGTGGGAGCAGTTCTGTTGTGACACAGGTGGTGTCACCGTGTAAACGGTTTGAGCAACTTTCTCACAGCACAGTGAGATCATTGCTGTTAGCATACGACCCCGGTGTGAGCAGAGTGTCTGCTCACTGTTCAGAGAATGGAAAAACAGAACACCAACTCCCTAAGGCTGTTGTGAGGACAAGAAGAAACACCACATTCATGATGAACTGCTCCGTAGCACGGAGAAGCTTTCATTTGGACCTGCTGTTTGCTCTCCGCATGTTCCCTCTGTCATTCGTTTACCCTGGTGTGGGGTTCCAGGATACCAATGGACCACAAGGTCAGCTTGAACCGGAAGTTTGGCGGCGGCGGCGTCTCAGAAACCCCTACGGCGTCTCAGAAACCCCTATATTCAGGGTCGGTGTAAGTCAGAACTGACTCGACTGCATTTAACAACAACAAACCTTTTTCTAGGGGAGCACGATGGCTCCAGAGGACATGCACAGGACTGAGAACCACGAGGTTGGTGGTTCGAGTCTGCCAGCCACTTCACAGGAGAAAGATCAGACTTTCTGCTCCTGTGAAGATTTACAGCTTCAGAAACCCTATTGTTGTAGTTGTGAAGTGCCGTAGAGTTGGTTCCAACTCACAGTGACCTTTTGTAGGGTTGTCAAGGAGTGGCTGGTGGGTTTAAGTTGCTGACTTTGTGGTCCACAGTCCAGTGCTTAACCTACAGCGCCATGCCAGGTGTCCCAGCAACCCTATACAGAGTCACTATGAGTCGGAACTGACTCGACTGCACTTAACAATAATAACATATGTACATATATGTGTAAATATGTATATTTTTAATTTCCTGAAGGTGTATGATTATGTCTAAGAAGTTTTCATAACGTTGCCTCCTGTGTACTCTACCAAAAGTAAAAATCGTTTTAAGAATTTAATATAGAAACAGAGTATCCATTTCTTAGGTTCATTTCTATAATGTGCTGAGTCCCTGAAGGCATTTGACTGCCCCACCCACTTCAGAACTCCAATAGTTCCCCTCAGTGAGCTATAAACAAACAAACAAACAATCTTATATAGGGTCCCTGAGCCTGCCAATCTTTATGAGAGCATAAGCAGCTGGTGGATTTGAACCGCTAGCCCACAGCACCACCAGCGGGGGCAGCACATCAATGTTTTCCTTACCTAAGAACTACAGATAATCAAAGGAGGCTATGTCCTAGATAGGGCGGAGATGATTCTTACTTTATTCTTTGTTTGAAATTTCCCAGTGAATATCCAATAAGGAAAAATCCGCACTTAAAAAAGCTTAAAGAATTCAATCCATTTAACTCAGTGACATCAAGTACAAATCAGCCCCCACCCCGTTAAATATCGAAGGATATCCCAGCTCATCCGAAATGCATGAGGGAGTCCACTTACTGGTACCCTGATAAAGCAATTTTCTGAGTTAGCTATTGTCTTTCTAACAAAGGCTGTTAAGCATCTGAGGAACTGCTTAAAATTCATGGAGTTTGAGAAGCTGTTTGCACTGCTCTGGTCTTTAACTTAAAGCAGCTCAATTTCTATTCAGGACAGTGCCTTGCTTCCCTCGCGCTCAGCTGTGTTTAACATCTCAAGAGATGAAAATGCATAATTGTCTTTACGGGATCGCTTCCAGAAACATTCGATTTTGTTATTTATTGCTTTTCATGGCATCAGAGCGAGCGAGCGAGTGAGCACAGTCCCCACGGCCTGAGATTTGGAGGATGGCTTCCGAAAACGTTCCCTGCTCTCTGCTGTGGACCTTGTTGCCCCTGAAGCTGACCCCTAAGGCCACCACGTCGGTCAACACCATCCTACCTTGAGGACCTGTTCTAGGTTCTCCAGTTTGGCTTGGAGCTGGTGCTTCTCCTTCACAGCTAAATCGCGATCCTTGGTCACTGTACACCTGGTTCAACTCAGCATGGTCTGCCGGCAACTGCAGAGAGAGAGTGGGGTGAAGGACACTATTGACTGGAAGCACAGGGACCTCGGAGGGCATCTGTCCGCAGCCTCTCACATCTGTCTGCCTGCCTTCCAGGCTCCTTGTGCCATCCCCCACCACCACCTCCCTCCCTTGAAAACCAGGAACTCCACGGCGTGGTCCACTCCCACTCCGAGTGGAATCTGTGACAAGGCTGGACATGCAACATGACATCCCCGCTCTTCCTCTCCCCCCACCTCCTCTCCCCCGACCCCAGCCACAGTTGTTCAGACCTAGGAACCTGACTCCAAGCTGACCAATCGGTACAATGCCAGGCAGGATAATTGGCTGGAGAGAAATAAGGGACCTCTCCCCCGCCCCAACATATCCTGGAAATACTGGACTTGTTTAGGAGTCTGGTGAAGAAATTAAAGTTGCCAACGATTTCATTCTACTTGGGCGTCTCTCTCTCCCCATCCCTCTATCAGTCATTATGTGTCTCCCTTAACAGTATCTCCCTCAGTCCTGAGATTGAACAAGACGCAGCCCAGGAGAACAGCTCACATCGGCAAAGCAGTAAGAACCACACAAGAAGCGTCCATACAAAATGTCCTGCCTGTGGCCCTGAGTTATTTTCTTATTTATTTCATCAACATCCATGAAAGCAGCAGTCAATAAAGCATCAGGAAAATCTGTGGCTACGGACTTCTTTAAAATCTTAAAAAGCGAGATGTCACTTTGAGGACTAAGGTGCGCCTGACCCAAGTCATGGTCTTTTCAGTTAATGCATGGCTGCAAAAGCCGCTCAATGAGACAGGAAGACTGAAGATGAACCAATGCATGTGAACTATGCAGTTGTCAAAGACTACTGTGAATGTATCACGGCCGCAAGGAGAATGAACAAACCAGCTTTGGAAGAACCACCACCAGAATGCTCCGTAGAGGACTTGCTTACTGTGGACACTTTATCAGGAAAGACGTGCCACAGGTTTGGAAGAACAAAAACTACAATGGTTGGACAAGTTGGAGGACAGTGAGACAGAGGAAGTGCCTGCAGAGATGGACTCAGACAGTGGCGACAGCAATGGAATAAAACCAAAGCAATGACCATAAAGGGCCAGGCAGTGTTCAACCTATTATACCTAAAGTTTCTACAAGTTGGACCTGACTTCATGACATTTACCACCACCACCAAGAGCCCGAAAAGAAACTCACTCTTCACCCACTGAACTTGGAATGCTGAGGACAAAAAGCTGGAGTGACTCTACCATGTGTCATTCGCAGGGGAAGAAGTCATTTATGACAAGAGCCAATAAAACTAAAGTCAAGTCAAGACAGGAAGGAGAAGGTCCTGATGACATCATCTGAGCACCTAGATCGAGCTATGCCTGAAGCCCATATTGCTTGTCCTTTTTAGTTACTAGGGGCAATAAGTATCTTTTGTTGGCTTGTACTAATTTGATTTGTTTTCAGTTCCTCATAACTGTGAGAGTCCTAACAGACACAAAGTATTAGTGGAATTGTCTAAGCATATGAATTCTTTGATCTGATTGGTCTGCCACAATCTTGAAAGACTAACAAACACACTTACATATGGATTCTAAGGCCTCAGAAATCATACCCATTCCATTCTCAGGTCGAACTGTGGATGTAAATTTAGGAGACCTCGTGCATCCCACTCTTTCCTGAGGCTTCTTGGCATGGATCTAGCTACATCACTGATAAGGGTCACAGGGCATTAATCCCAGTCATCTTCATCCTGGGGGTAACATATTTTATCCCAACAGCAGACTTAGTTTCTCCCCATTCCCAATGTTATGGGAGGAGATGTGGTTTCAATAAAGCCATGCTTTTCAGCCAGCATGGTGCAATGAATAATTTAACGTCTCTTCTAGACATTGTCTTTGTAAACTCCCACCAAAGAACCTCTTCCTGATGAGTCTGGGTAAGAGAAAGTGGGCATAGATGCTGATGGCCGGTATGATGTGGTTGTGAGTGCCTGTTAACAGGGTTAACTGTGATTGGTCAATTTTGCCAGCCTGCTGGGTATATGTATCTCAGAAGCAAAGTGGAGATATTACCATGGGAGAAGAAGAGCTGGAAGGTCTCTGCACACAGAACTCCTCACTCCTGGACCCCGGGACAGGAAGCTGTGACACGGGAGGGGTGGTCTGGGCTCTTATCAGCAGCCCTGAAAGACCTTTGTAACTCTGTCCAGGCAGAGAGAGGCCTGGCTGAGAGGCTGTCCTGACTGGAAGAACGGTGCCCTGAGCACTTCTGATCCTGAATTAGAAACCGTTAACGTCCATAATAAACCCCGTATCTGTGAGTATGGCGTCGGAGTCATCTGTGCCCGCTGCAGGGAATCATGGAAACTGGCGGAGCAGAGAGGGCTGTGGAAGGGATACTTGGTGCTAATTTTCTCAGCCATCATCTTTTTTCTGTTTCAAGTATGTGATGTGCCAGGTGTCCCTTGAACTTGACAATTTCTGTGGCACATAGTAAGAAAAGAAAGGCACGAAACCCACATGGACACACGTGTTGCCTGAACTAGAATTAAGAAGTCATGGAGAGGTCTGACTGGCAGGAGCGCTTTGATGTCTTGTCTTTAGTTGTGATTTGGGTGAGAGATTACAGAGCAAATTGATTTTCCATCCAGCGGCTCATACAGATTTTGTTTTGTGACATTGATTGCAATCCTCACAGTGTAACCGCGCTCTTCCCACTTCCTCCCTGGGTTTACCATTTCCATTTGTCCTTTCCTGACTTCTGAGCTTTAATGCCATTTTTTATAAAGACAATTTAGGTTTTCCACGCCAGTTTAGGTTTCCATTCAACCATTTCGACACGTGCAGTATTCAGGGACCTTCACAGTGTGTGAATGTTCGCATTATTTCAGTTTTGGTTGTTCTTTTTTCCTTCATCTAGTTTCCCTGATCACTGCCCATCTTTGTTTTAAAGCCATTGCAGTTGAATGTCACCCTTGCCACACCATGATGTATAGGCACTGTAACACTCCAGGTGGAGGTCTCATCATCAGCAGGATGCATGTGAACTAAATGGTTGAACTTGAACACCAGATGAACAGATTTGCAGGACTTCAATGGGCTCGAGGTACAGATATTCAAGAACATTCGGTGGCCCAAGGTTGTCGGCGACTTCCCCTGTGCTGATTCCCTGGGCTCCCTGAGAACCCTAATCCATCCCACCCCCCTGGGGGGCTCCAGCTTCCTGCACAGAGTGTAGGACTAACCCAGGACAGGAAGCGCTCTCAAATGCTGCAGCAGCAGATGGTACCTGGGTAGAGAGGGATACATCTGAAAACATGTCAGGATTTGGCTCAAACACGCCACTCCTTTGGCTGCAGTGCAGGCAAGTGCTCCTCCAGTGCCCAGCGGGACTTTTACCCCAGATCCCCCCAGAGCTCCAGTGGGGAGACCTCACTGGCTTACATACCCTGGGGGTCCCAGCTGCTTGCATTGGACACATTCTCCTGGTGCATTGGGCTCAAAACGTAGTCCTTCCATGGCTTAGGAACACTCCCATGGAGCCAAACCCAACTTCCTTTCTCAGTAATATTGGGAACAGATGAAGGGGAAAGAGGATTTGGAGTAACAAAAGGTACTTGATTTTCACCAAGACATATAACAGAGAGAAAAGGAAAAAGGAAGAAAGAGAACCTGGTTTGGGGAAGAGGGCAGGAAGGACATTCTAACATATCTAAATTTCTTGTCAAGTTGATTCCAACTGCTAACAACCCTCTCTATATAGGGTTTACGAGGAGTGGCTGGTGAGTTTGAACGCCGACCTTGTGGTTCAAGCCAACCTTTCAGTCCAGGGCTGACCCTACAGTGCCACATAATTCCTCCTTTGCCCTGCTTCAGTGGAAAGTTAAGAATAGTCCATTTTTACAAGATTTTTTCCTTTTAACTGAGCAAAAATTGAAAATGAGATTTAGGACATGGTACTCGCTTTTCGGTGAAAGGTACTTTATCTTTCAAATCCCACACGTCTATGTGTCTCATCGTTATAAATCCCTGTAATTTCTCACTAGTAAGATA